GGCTATGCTCGCGGTAAGTATCTCGTTTTGCAACCTAGATTTTATGTAGGTTGCAACGTGTTCGACAGCTGGTTCGACATTCGATCTGGTCAGGTCAGTATTTTCTGTACTTTCCCTATTTGTTTGCAGTATTTTCTTAGCCATATTCATTGCTTTGGTTGTTTTTGTTTTCAATTCTTTCCTTTTTATTCTTTTTCTGCAACCGCTGCCGGGATTTCAGTCTTACAAGGGAGCCCAAAACCCTGTCGGATTACCGGCGCGTAAGACTGCTATCCCTCGAGGCGTGTCTTTTCCTATATTGTCCTCACAGTACGACTTTATCTTTCAGGTTGCAATTCCCTAATTTCAGCATTTATCCTTCTCATGGGTCCCGTGAGTGGTACTTTCACTAGCTTCGGTTTTTTCTCCAATCTTTTTGAGCGTCTCTAGCGGGATAGCAGTCAGTTGTTGCGGTTCAGTTCTCGCAGTATGTCCGGTTTCTTATTTCCGCATGCGGGGTTTTCAGTTTTTTCGTTTCATATGCCTATTTTGGTCTACACTGTTTAGTCTTCGTGCTTCCTAGTTTTATTCATGCGGAGTCAGTGTATGAATTTGCTTTACTTGCATGCTGCTATTCCCGTTGGGTGTTTTAAGGTACGTGTTATTATAAGCTGCTGCATTTTCATGAGTGAGCTATTGTTTGGCTTGTGCTTTCGTTGATGTTTTTAGCAAAACCCACAGTTTTTGTTCCAAATAAATGTGTTTTGTGGCTCCAGAGCAGAAGTTGTTTTACGTCCAATTTTTGTTGCCTGACTCTGTCGAGCGTGTACTAGAACCAGGGGCTCAATTTCGCTAAAATGTTCACGCCCTGGTATTGTTTGCACTGTGTTTTGCGGCTCCAGAGCAGAAGTTGTTTTAAGGCAATTCTTGTTACCTGACTCTGTCGAGCGTGTGTTAGAACCAGGGGCTTAATTTCTGTAAACTTTATTACGCCCTGCATGGTCTTGTTTACAGTTTGTTGGGAATTGTGGCTCCAGAGCAGAAGTCTTTTCGTGGCAATTTTTTGATCTGACTCTCTCGAGCGTTTTATTTAGTTATGGGGACTGCATGATTTGTGCTAAATTTATTGCTCCCTGGTCTTGTTAATACGGGGCAGAAGTTGTTTTGCGACAATTTGGTTTTCTGACTGTTTTGAGCGTTTTTCTGTAGTGAGGGTATCAAGGCTGGGGGTTTTGAGTTTGGGTGTGTGGGGTGTTGTCTTCCTGTTGGTAGTGCGAACGCTCGGAAAGCATTATTCGTACGTTGGCCGCCAGATTTCTCCATCACTTACCTTAGGAGCGTGGACAAGATTGGTGTAAATAGGATACTATTTACACCAATCTTGCCCCCGCTCCTATGTTAAGTGATAGAGAAATCGGGCGGCCTCTTCCGGATGAAGGATACAGGCCCGAGATACTATGGGCTGGGATGCATGGGAGGGAAGAGGGAAAAACAAACCATCCGAAAGAGGTCCCATGAGGTGGAGAGCGGGCAAGGCGAGGTGCATGGCCATAACAACAACCTGTGTTTCGTGTCTCGAAGATGATAATGAATGCATGGTGTATGTGTCTTATATAGTCGCTTGGGCAAGACCGCTGTAAATAGTAATAACCCTAGTGAGGCAGAGATATTTGCCTCTGATCTTTTACAGAGCTTCCGCGCGAGACAATTAATTCATCATTTAAATAACATCGATCTCTTTTCTTTTAGATCATTTTTTAAAAATAACCAGTCATCGGCGACATCACTAGAGGCTGATAGAACAAAAAATGACGAAGCTATCAAGTCACTTAGAGACGTCATTGCATTCTGTACCATTCCCCCTCGGCCACCTGAAGGAGCTTCAGGTTTGTCAAGACAGAGCTTGTTTTCTTACCGTTGCTGTGTCGCTCGCAGATGGCTTTTGAGTTCACAGGAACTGTTTAATTTTTATTTTATTTGTTGTTTGATATCTATACGCAGAAACATTTTGTCCAGAAGAGGAGCTTCAAAGACTGGTTTGTCGTGCAATGAAGCAGAATCCAAATTCACAATGTCTGAAGGATGCTCTCATTAAACAGTCTTGGGACGGTACTGTAACTTTAATCTTCTGTCGTTTGGGTGGAGCCAGTCAGGGAAATCCCCTTTAGTGGTTTTCTAGGTTTTTGGTACCACAGTGGGTTAAGAAACCTCACTTGACAAATGGGAACGCTTCAATTTAAATAAACGTCGCTCGACTTTTAAGGTCTTATGTTAATTTGTAAACTTTATACCGCTGTGCAGTAATTTTTACAAAGCCTTTTCCTTTTTTCTAATAAGTACTTGTACGGTTAGAATGACTTTAAGTGATGGGTGAATTGATCGCGAGCTTATTAACTAGCTGTTTAAGAAAAGAGGTTTTGGTTATAAAAGGAAAAGACAGCTGAAGTGATCTGGAAACATTTCACTGGCGCATTTTTTTTCTTATTAAGCTAACGGCGATGTTTGCATTTTAAATGCGCTTAAATTATCTAAAACCCGTGTCATTTGCCTTCTCCTTCCAGACCAAAGAATGGCTTAGTGAACCTCAGTATTTATTTTGTTCTTTTATTGTGTTTTCCAGGAGAATGTTTCTCTGGTTCAGTGGACAAACGTCAACTAGCATTAGAAATAAAGGACATCGTGAAGAAAATGTAATTACATGTATTCCTTGCAGAGAGGGTGGAAACCAGGTCTGAGAAGTGACGGTGTCAGTTAGCAAATAACTGTGTAATGTTATTTGTAAGACGTTCACAAAATACCGTTGCAGTAGCAAAACCGAATAGTTTCGGAACAAACAGAACTCAGTTCAAAGTGAACTCATGGAGGCGATCATTACTCAGGATTACTCTAACGGTCAGTAATCAAGGCAGCAAGACCATGTTACCAATGACAAATCATTTTGCGAAACCTTGAAAACTGCTTCAAGAAAACGTTGTAATTGTCCTGTCGGTACTGATATAATGGCTGCGGCCTGAGGACTTGCAAAATATGAATATGTAAGTTTGATCCTTTGTGTGCCGACAAAAAGATATATTTTATAACTTTTAAACAAATTATATTTTGATATTATCAACATCTTCACACAATAGGGCCATTTATACGAGGAAAAATAAGACGCATCTTACATAAGACGCGTCTTAAATATGACGCGAACTGTACCATTTATACGAGCATGTCTTATCTAATAAGACGCGTCTTAGCTAAGCCGCTTAAGCCGCGTCTTATTTTAGACGAAATGTGCCGTTTATACGGAAAGTTCGCGTCTTATTTAAGACGCGTCTTATGTAAGACGCGTCTTATTTTTCCTCGTTTAAATGGCCCTAATGTTACGTTTTACCTCCACAAAAAAATCGTAGTTTTAGTACACCGGTAAATTTTAAACTGAAATTTAGTCGGTTAGATTAACTTAGTTAGATTGTATTTATCCCGTCAATTTGCGCGGAATAAAACATTTTTTATGAACTTTCCCATTCTTTTACGACGCAAACGTCTTATTCGAATTGTTTGATTATGCATTTATTAGTTTGACACGTTTTTTTCTACAACCATTTATTTCATTAACGTTCTGGGGACAGCACCCTCGAATATGCAGAATTTCTTCCGTTTTACCACCACTTGGTTTAATTACAGAAATCCTAACGAATTAACTTTTAAAACCGCCCCTGATGAAGACTAGCTTTTGTCTAGTCGAAATATTGGGAAAATAAATTTGTAACCCTTACCTGTCCGATCAGCCTTACCTTCAATTTTAACTGTTTTGGAGGGTTTGAGGAAGTTGGGATACAGTGTGAGATGATTGTTATGAAGAACCCTGAGATGAGTGTTTCTAGCCTGTCATTTGTTCTTGATGACTATATTGATCACAAAACACATGAATCACTTGTTGCAGAGAAGCAATCGAGTTTACAATTTGTAATGAATAAAGAGCATGCATCTTGTGGCACCGTTTAGCTGGTGCGTTACAGATCAGTTATTTTCCACTTTACGGAATAGGTCTAAATGTATGTGAAGTGATTTTCTGTAGAAGACTTTTTCATTAGCCCCGACTAGAAAAACTGCAACACAAAAGTTTTGTCAACAAATATAACTGGAGATTAAAAACCAATATGCAATACTTTTTACAAACCACCTACATTGTATATTGTTCATTTAAAAATAATTTTCATAGAAAGAACCCAAAAGCACCAACAAAATGTAGTAGAAAGTATAATTCAGAGGAGCTTTCGAGCCTCGACTTCTATCCCAGCTTTAAAGGGTCAATTCGTGGTCCTCGTCTGAGAACAAAAGTTCCGTTGAATATCTTCTTTGTGCACGATTTGTTAAGGATGGTTCTCTTTTTTTAAGTATACCTTGAAATGTCAGCTAGACAGGGGATATTCAAGTTGTCATTTATCTTTAAAGTTTCTCCTTTGAGTTTTTAGTCATCCCATCAGGCTAAGTTTCTAATTCTGTGCTTTCAATAATGAACATGAGAGGTTAAGGAAACATGATCAACCATAACAAATTTTTTCCACTTCTTTGATAACAAATTTGTAGGTACTTTGGAGAATCTGTATTCTGATATTGCGAAATAAAAAGTTGTATTCGAGACGTCCTTTCTCCCTTTCCTCTTTCATACTAAAAGGGTTGAATGTGTTTCCTTTTTGTTTGAAGAGTCCGCTTCTAACAATATGTATTTCTGAGCGAATAAAATCCTGGCCCCGGTTGTTCAAAAGCTGGATAGCGCTATCCACCTTTTGAACACATGGAGCTAGTAGTGTAATTTTCATTTGATCGTATTTCCTTTATGTAAGTGCGAAACAATTTTTTTAAAATAACATTGGGCGTATTATTAGGGTGAAATTAGTCATCAAAAAACCGGAATTTAACACCACACACAGAACATTATGCGAGTAATCGTATAATGTACTGCAAACACACTTTGTTTTTGTAGTTGGCGTACGGTGGCTTTAAACCCTGTTGCCCAGGCCTAGTTTACTTGTCGTTGTACTTAGCCGTGTAATTAATGTGATAAGACCTCTGATTACTGCTACCTCCCCTCCCAGAGCTACGTAGCTGTAGCGCTTTTGTTTACATTTTTTGAACAAACTCTCTCTCTTTGAGTTTGACAAAATAGAAAAACTATTAAAGAGCTTACATCTTGAGGATTTCTCCATGATATATATCCTGAAAAAACCATCCTTTAAAAGCACATTTTACTCAGGGATCACCTCAGTATCGATTGACCTCTTCAGACAACTGATCAGACTGATTGAATTGTGCTTCGCCTCTCGCTTGCCTAAGGTAGCGTGACCTGGGCAGCATGATTATTGGATCATTAATGAGTCTCTAATTACAAACAGTCAACCAGCAATGTTTTCTGCTGGACAACTGCAGAAAATTGTTTTACGGCTAACATTTTCCTTGGGATACGTAGAATAACAACAACATCGAGTTTGAAACACACAGATTTTAACCACAACTGGTGATGGAATACAATGTGAGCCAAATATTTCAAAATACTGAAAAACAAAGTAAAACAATAGTTTTTGTCATCATCAGTACTGTTATCCGCGACTGGAGATCCGGCAATAGCCAGATCCAGATTTAACAGAAAATATCACGACACCTTGAAGTTTGATTATTAGTTACAAAATTATTTATAAACAACTTATTTTACCCTGGGGCACTACGTATTGTTAACGGCTCCATGGCCACTCAAACAAAGAAATAAACGATTATAATAAACAGCTCTGTAGATGTTAGATTCCGAGGATCTATTAAAGTTGTTAGGCACTCTTTCAGTTTCACTGTTGTTTAATTACTGAGTCTTTCCATGTCCACATCTTCCTCCTCATCGAATTCAGAGTTTGAGCTGCCAACAGAGTTAGGCATGCGTTTCCGAATCCTACCATTTGTAATATGTTGTCCTATTCTGATCTCCTTGGACGCCTTATGGTGCTTGTGTTTTGCTCTCTGTTGGTTCTTATGCTGTACCAGGGACTCAAGCTGGTCTGTTAAGCTCGCTAACTTGTTGAAGGTTTCATGATCGTGCTCCAGCGACAGCATCTCTCTCTCCAGGTGCAAACTTTCTCTGAGCATTGCGGCCTCTTCTTTGAGCGCTTCTACTTCTCGCTGAAATTCCCGCTCACGTCTCTGGAATAGTGTTTCCAGTGTTATCTTCTCAGCGAGTAACTTGTCGTATCTAAAAGCCCATTCCTTCGCTTCGTTACCTTCTTCGAACGGATCATCATCGTGATTGGGAGGCCTCCTTGGTTGAAGCCTTTTCTCCAATTTAGCAACTTGCTCCTTTAGCGCTGCAATCTGCTCCTTGTAGAACGTTTCTTTGTTGTTGAAAATCTCATCGCGACGCGACCTTTCTAAAAGCAGCTCCTTTATCTCGGTAGACATTTGCTCTATTTTACGATCCTGCAACGCCAGCTGCTCTTTGTACACTGCTTCCATTGCCCCGCCTTGATCGTTCGACGTACTGTACTTGCTTTTGCTGCTACTGTTGTCCAAGCTCTCAAGCCTTTGCCTTAAATCTCTAATACAATCATGCTTGGGAATATCACCAAGCTCTAGCTCAATTCCACATCCCCCCGGACACAATAGTGTTTTCTTTTCGTATCGTCTTATATCTTTTAAGGACAGCTTTCTACCACTCTGCTCTAGATTGGCATTTGTGGATTGCGGTTTCTCTACATCTGTTTCTGTTTTCTCTTCAGCCTCCTCCATGTCTGGCTTAAACGACGCGTAGTAGTAATCTGTGTCTTCTCAAGCCGACAATTGGTTTTTGCAACTTAGCTCTTGTTAAGAGCCTTGTTGTCGAGCGATTAGGAGAGTTTAAACCGACCCGAACAGTTATATTACGTTAAAATCATGCCAGAATATTTTGGTCACGTCTAGTTGACCCCAAACAACGCGATAAGTCAAGAAAAGTGATTTTACTTTACGTCTGTTCAGCAGAGTACAATTATGCACTCTCAAGGAGCAGAAACGGATCCCTTGTAACCCGCGAATGGAACCAAAATCCAATCCTTTTGAGCTTCTAACGGCTTGATTTCTCAGTCTCAGTGCAAATCCAACAACATCTTTTTATATCGCCAAGCCACTCTGCTTTCTTTTTGCGGCGTGTCTTTCCTTTGTCGTGTTTTTTAGAATTTTAACATAACTCCCGCCCTCGCACTTGAATCTGTCGCTTTGCTGAGTCGATATTGGTTGTCAGGTTTTGATCCTTTAGATTTGTTGCAATTGCATCTAAAAGTAATCGATTTTTACTCAAGAGAAGCTCGTCCCCTGCAAATAGTGACAATGATACCAAGCAAATCGGTTGGAGCTCTTAAGTCAGAAACTCTATACTTACCATTATAGTATTCAACAAATTTAGCTTCGTGAATGATATCGATTGTACCGCATGGCTAACATTCCTTTGACGGATTAGATCAGGTTATCTCAGGTCATTGGTCTTTGCGGTTTAAAGGAATTTGCCCGAATAGAGTAGTCAGGCCGATAATTTTTTTAAAAATTACATGTAAGATCCAACACATGACATTCTATAATCCCACTACAAATAAAGAGAACCAAATCGCCCTATTTTAATGGGGGTCTCCGGTGTATTTTTAAAGCATCTCTGAAAATTAAAGCGGTTGTGGTGGGGGTGGGTTGGGGGGGGGGGGGGGGGGGTATGGTGTTTTTGGTTGTGTGTAAAAAAAATACGGCAAAAAAAGAAAATAAAGCCTTATATTTTTTTAAAAAAAAAAAAATACAAACACAACAAAACATTTTACAAAACCCCAAAAAAAAAAAAAAACACACACCCCCTTTTTTTGGGGGGGGGTCTGTGGTTTTTTTAAAAAAGCTTGAAAAAAAAAAGGGGGGTTGGGGGGGGGGGGGGGGGGGGGGGGGGGGGGTTGATAGTCTATCTTTTACATGAAACGTTGCAAAGGCTTATACTTGACACGATCTATCAAGTTGAAAACACGTTGTCACAATGACTCACGTCACAGTAAATGATATCACGTTTCCTTACTTTTCTTTAGGGTGGGTTGAGTGCACACTAACTCAACACCACTTTACGTGCAAAATGACGTTCGAAATTCTACTCAAAACGAATTGGAGTTCGCGGCAGTCTCATGACCAATAAAATGGGCCGGTTTTTTTTTGCCAAGAAATAACCGAAAAAACTTCATGTTTCCTTTCCAATTACATTTGAAAAGAGGCTTCACAAACTAGAAAAAATATTGCCAAAACTTTTCAGTCAAGACAAATTTTCCGAGCCACTGTATATAGAGGGAAGATAAGGCGTAAGTGGTCACGTGATTGATAACTATCCAAAAAAGATAGAGAATAAAGCTCTCTTCACCGGTTTTTAAGTCACGTTTCTTAGTTCCATGTTGATCGGACACTCCCTTTCGGAGATGGACCACACCCTTGACTTCCTCTCAGAATAAATCGTAACCGACTCCCTAACTTAGCGAAGATGCAACAGTCTTTCATTTCATTGTTACTATACGTAAACAAGCACCATTATGTAGCTAGAATCTCTGATCTATGTGCCTGGTGCGAATGCAGTTGTCTCAGCATTTGTGAAAGCTGAGGTGAATGATGCATTTTCTTGATGTAATGTTTTTTTCCTCAAAACGAAACTCAGCCAATAGAAAGAATCACTTAGATGCATGAACGAAAAGAGAAACCTAACTATATCTAAACTTAGCTGGGGAGAAAGTGGTGGCATAGGGCAGAGAGAGGTTTTTCTCCTGGTACTCCGGTTTCCCTCTCCTTAAAAACCAAAATTCCAACTCGACCAGTAATCAGGTAGATGAAGAGCAGAAGAACCACCTAGTGGATGTGTTACCTCTAAATCGTTATTTATTTAAGTTATTTATTTACTAAGCTTGTGAGACGGTCTTGTGATTGCAGTCTGTATCCAATTCAAGACTAGTAGTCGTCGGGTAATCTTCTGGCCAGCTTTCGGCTTAACTTACAAATTGATAGTAGTCGATTGTACTGTCCCTTAAAACTGTTTCCAGTGGATCAGTTAGGATCTTCCTGTCATTTCCTCCACAAATAATCGTGTCGTTTCCTCCATGCGTGTCCACACGTCATCACCTCGTCGGAATGGCGGCTTCTGTTTAACGATCAACCCAAGAAGCTGCTCGAGAGCGTCTGGGCTGCGGTCTGGTGGATTGGGTTCTATTCTTCTGTACTCACGCTCTAACTCGCGAAGCTTGGCAATGACACTTTGTTTCTCCGCTAGCATATCCACGGCGTCAGAAAAGAACCTGTTACAGAAAAAGACGGTTGTTTGCGGCACTGATGCAAAGGTTTTTAAAGCAATGCTAACAACGTGTAAGAACAACCTTACCTCAACTTCGGATTACAAGGTCGCGATCCGTCAAGTTCGTAGAAATATGAATAAATAAAGATGTGGAAAAGACTACCTTAAGGGTTGATCAAACAAAGGGAAAAGGCTTAGTAGAATATTTTGACTGTGATACTGAGTGTCTATGGTGATGTTTTGAAGGCCTCATTTAATTTTTTCAAGTGTATAACCCAACACCCAAGGGTAATTATATTCGACCCTTAATCTAATGGGCCATTTACGAGTTTCAGTACAAAAACGAGGCTAATTACAAAACCTTTGTTGTGAAAATGAGTTTTATTTGCATGAGAATTAAAAATTATTTTCATATCAATGGCTTCAGTTGCACTTAGCGTCGCTTTGAAACAGAGTTTGGGCAATTCGTAAATGGCATTTTTGTTCCAGTGACCTAAATCGACTGAGAAAAAGGGACCATCACGAAGCGGCCTTATTCATATGGCACTATTAACTGCCAGTAGCTATTATCCTGGCAGGAATGCAAGTGAACTATAGCAGAATACCAACACTCATATGCCTTCTAGCTTTTCCTTTCCAAAGCGTTTGTTCTTCGCTTATGACTGAAAGCCCATGAGAATTTGATTGTTCTATTTTACAGAGGGGAGAAAAGTATACGTGGCTTGCTTACCTATTTAAATAAACACACTCACGACAAGAAGGCCCATACAATGCTGCGTACTTCATGAATATGGCATCCACTCTTCCAACCAGATCGTTGTTGAAGTTAGTGAAATACTCGAGCATGTGCAGTCGCTCCCTCTTATTTCTTTCCTTCTCTGCTTGCTGCGGTGTTCCAAACAGTGATGGCAGTAATCTATGACTCCAGGCAGACACGCCCTGTTCTACTGAGCTGGCAACATGTTCCAGGTACTGAAAGAAGGCATACAATAATAATAGTCACCGTGATAGTTAAGACAAACTGAGGCAAGTCAAGACAAGACAAATGTAAGGGGCACACCTACACCAACCCACGGCCTGGCCAGTACCTCACGCATGCATACAGCCATATCATCCGGCCAATGGAAGCCATGGACAGCTGTTTCGCCCATCCCATCAGGTTTATAAACAGGCGAACCTGTGTTTCAAAGACTCTTTACTGCCTGGGAACCGCACGGCAGTTCTCCCACGGCATGCGCGGCCGGGGAATTTGGATAAGGACAGTTACCCTGATCTGTGTGTCAGTAATTCAATAAGACAAAAGTAAGTTTGTCCCATCGCGATAGGGCCCCCAGAGCCTTCCAGGTATCATCAAATTTCACTACTTCCCGGATAATTAACTTGGATTTTGCAAGATGAAATTAATGTAATCGAGATACATGGTATAGCTAACAATGGTTGTCCAAGAAATAACCGTAGTTAATTGAAGGTCTGAGTTTTCTGTTACTTTGGTTTTCATATGCTTTTAACTAATCAGAGTAAGCTCCCTTTAAACTTACATAGCCTGCGAGCTCGAGGTAGGGCAGAATGGGGGGAGGGGGGGGGAGGGCGGATGGGCTCTACACTTAGACTAAGTAGGCTCCAATTTTCATGGAGGATGCGAGACTAAAACTAATCATGGACTGTAGAAGCCTTTAGCTGTCTCGGTACCTTCTTTATTGTGTCTGGAATGACGTTTAGTGGGCTGTTAGACGAGTAGTCAAACGGATTAGGACGCCAGCTGGGAATCAGATCCGGGTCCCAACTGACGAAAAACTCGTCGCCATCAAGGTCCCCTCCCGAAGATTCGTCAGCGTGCGGGCGGGGTCCTCTCGTTGGAAACACAATACAGTCGCTTAGATGTGCGTATTGTGGGCTGTCCTTAACGAGTCTCAAGACACGGATGTCACCGGGGTGGTAACACGGATTACGAACAACCATCACCTCTTGCGCTACTTGGAATTCTGAATACTGCACTTCATCAAATAAAGTTGGCTGGAAAACACACTCGCCATACTGAAGCTGGTTCAGGGGATCACAAACGCCAAACACCAGTCTTGATCTGTAAAAAAAATAAGTCAATCCAATCATGTTTTGAAAATCTTATAATCTTCGAGATAGCTGAGTGGTCGATCGAAGGTTAAGTCATCGCCATATCTGTCCCGTCACAGTGAAAAGAATTCTTTAACAAGCGATCATCTACAAAGCCCGCAAAGATTTGAGCAGTCGTGCTCGTACTGCTCAGTCTATGCTCACAGTCCAAACTGAAGGGCCATATATAAACTTATCGTGCAAAGTATTAACCACAGTTATTGAAAACAAAGTACACAGTAAGCCCAAGTGGGCGCACCAAACTAGCATCAGGCATTTTGAATCTATAATGAGACGACGGGGGTCAGTTTCAGTATATGTTCGATCATGTATATATAGAGGAGTGCTGGAAGGCGATAGGCAATTTTACATGTCAGTGGAACGCCATTAAGCACCGGCCGGAGGAATTCGACAAAATAACGACTAACAGTGGCACTTAAATGGAGTTGCAGGGAAGGGGAGGTATGGGTACCAGCACCTACCTGGGTACCAGGACCCTCAGTTTGCATTTTGAAGACTGCGAGGGACTGGCACTTTCGTCGTCATCAACACCACTGCTTTCATTAGTGATATTTTCTTTCTGCATCTTTTTTATCTCTTTTGCACGAAGACTTTTCAGGTCTTTTTGTAGGCGGTGGCTCTCCAAGCCATAATTATGAAGCCGTTCTATCAATTTCTGCTCGCCTTTGATTCGGAGATAATTCTCGGTGCTCTCTGCATGGATACCGAGTTCCCTTAACATAGAGTGAAAATTGCGCTGCAGCATGGTAAGGCAGGTATGTTCAACCCCACTGTCAGCAAGGAGCATAATGATTTGCTTGTTCAAATAACCCACGGTGTACGGACGTGAACATTTCACGACACCGAACGTGCTACACGTTTGGCGCATGCGTTCATCCGGGATAGTAAACTTTTTCATTGATTTTCGGAACTGAACCTTGACCTGGCCATCTCCTAATTGTCGACTGAGAAGAAGAACGCCCTTAAATCCCTGATACCGAACTTGCACCACACAGGGTTTAGCTTCTAGACCTCGTACATCCTGAATCCTTTGCGCAAACTCATCAGACATAAGACCACATCCATCTGTAAAGATGTAACCATTTCGTTTCACGTCTTCTATTACTTCATATTCATGCTCTGCCAAACTGATACTCTGATCAAACGTGGAAAACAAAAGTCCAATCCTATAAACGGAGTAAAAACGACATTAAAAGCAATTCAGACTTGACGATCACACACATGTTGCTATGATGGAGTGCAACAGTGTCGCATTAAAATGTATGGCTTGTTTATCAAATGATCAGAAAATGACAAAAAGAATTAGCCTGTGTCAAAACAGGTATTACATTGCCCTACAGGCGTGTTAATGGAGCAATACAACGTCCCTTTAAATCTGAAGAACAAATTTCGAAAACCGTTTGCTAACTTGTCATCAGTTTTCATTAATAAAGAGACTAAACCCTTATCATATTAAAGATTCTTTATCCCGCTCGTGATAACATGAGCACATGACAGAAAATCAATGTTAGGCCGAGTACTTGCATAATGTAGACAATAGTCTGCGATATTCAACGATACAGGTTAATACTGAAAGATGAACAACCGGCACTCAAAATTTTTGTTTTTAAATTTTGGTCTATAACTTACACATATCATGCAACTATATAACATCTACTGTAACATTCATTTACAACAGGCAAAACCCGTTTTTGTATACATCGCAGATAAATTGATATTTACAATTGTGTACAGTGGGTGGAGAAGGATGTCGTATACACATCATTTGTTACAATCTCACAAACATCTCTCACTGCTAGTTTATAAGAGGGTCTGAATGGGGGGGTCCACTTGTCGGTTGTTGGTTAAAATTCAGTAATTTTGTCGGTAGTCGGTTAAAATTTTCGATCTTTGTCGGTAGTCGGTTAAACTTTTTGATTTTCGCCGGTTGTCGGAAAATCTCAGTTAATAAGTAAAAACGATTGTTAATTATTAATATTTTTATGTATTTCACCCACTTTTCAAGACTTTGATCCCCAAGGAAAGAGTAAAACTTGCAAGAATGCATCTGATTTGATTGCGCCTAAACAGTTCATTAACTCTTGTTTTTTATGCAACATGAACGTTTATTTCATCATTGTTTGCCATTAAATGAGTAATTAGTACTGATAAAATCACCCAAGCTTTTATTGTAAATGCGAACTTGGTTTCCCTGTCGACTACAGGGCACAGTAAAAAGTAATTTATTAATTACTTACTAGCCTTTTGGATACTTAAATTATTTTTATTGAAAAACTGCAAGGGATGACAGGCTGCACATCTATCCCTCTCATGTTTTGGTTCTAAAAAGCATGTCCTTTGCCATAATTTTCCTTTCTCAAAGAAATAGCACTTTAGGTGGTTCTTTAAAATTTTGGCAAGGTAGTGGTTGGTTAAGTTTTGTATGAGATTCCACTTTTTCATTAAAGCTTCTTTTTTATAGACACTAAGGGCTGGTATTGTGTCACGAAAGGCAATTTTTAGTGTTTTTCTTCCTGGTTGTTTTTTTTTCAGGAGCGCTGCCTTCCTTTCTTTGAGTTTTACTTCTAAATAGCAATTTTTCTTTGAAAATTGTGTGGCTAGCCTCTGTCCATCAAGCGCTTTTGAAATCTGAAATACTTCCTCAGAGGAGTTTGTTCGTAGGATTCTCAAGGCTTCTCGTTTGTCAAACAGGCGCTTTGACAATTGGTGGGTGATAAGAGGTGAAAATGTATATACTGTAAGATTTCCGTTTCAAATGCGTCTTTACGTCAAGGATAGCTTTTTCTCATTTTTTCGCTGAATGTTGTACCTTGGTATACAACCGTTTCTAAAAAGAATGTCTCATTTTCAGATCTTTCGGCCGTGAATTTCATAGGAGGGCATGTAAGTTTACTTGTTCTGCGAAGAAAGCTACGATGTCTGGTTTACTTATGTCCCATAGGGAAAAAATGTCATTTATGTAGCGTTTTCAAACAGTTGGTTTAAAGACGGTTTTGCTTAAACTTTGTGTTTCAATATGTGCCATGAAAATGTTGGAAAGGAAACTGCTGTCTTTGTGCTCATCGCGGTAACGTGGGTTTGTACTGATAGTTCTTTACATTAAACGGGACAGAATTTTCTTTGAGGATTAATCTAAGCAAAAAACGTTCGGTTTTTTTCACCTTTGACTTTTCAATAAAATCTTTAAGGTGTGACTTTGTGATTTTCATATTGGCTGTAGCAATGTACCTGTATCAACAACAAAAAAAGAAATTCTTTCCCTTAGGCCATCTGATGAGTCATAACTTTAAAGAGGTTACTTACTTCCTCGAGCTAACGGTTAGATTAAATACAAAATGCTCTTTTTTCTGGAAACAAATATTGATAATATCAGCCCATGTCGGTAGTCGGTAATTTTTTACTCATTTTGTCGGTAGTCAGTAATATTTTTCGCCCTTTGTCGCTAGTCGGTTAACCCCATTCACACCCTATTATAAACGTATCAATCCAGCAGTTTACCTCTTTGCACGCTTAGCTGCCGTCTTGATCTTGGAAAAATTTCCAAACTTTGCGAGTAGATCGTAGATGTCTTCGTCGGATGCATTCATCAAAAAGCAGGTTTTCTCTTTGAGCTGTGAGTTAGAATGACCTAGAAATCGGTATATCTCTCCGCTGAAGACGATCCCGCGCTTCAAGATTTCTTGAGAAGCATCCTCCGAGTCCGCTCGTCTTCCCTGCTTAAAAGCCACTGTCATGAGTCTGTCGACCACCTAAAGAGAGTCCGCACAGAGTCTTTTAAAATTGACCATGGTCAATCCCTTGCCTTCCCTCAATAAGGACACAGTTGTTCAAACCTTCACGGTTAAACGTTTACTTTTTCTTTTTTCCGATGGACAAATCACTATTCAGCCGATAACTGCCACAAAAAACAAATAGAAAGGTGCTATCCACTGCTTAGACCTTTAGCGCTGTCCACCTCTTGAACAGCTGGGGCCAGGCTGCCAGAGGGTAAGGGAGAAAGGGGAAATATTTCCAGACATCGGATAGGATCCAAAATTACTTCCTAACCAACAGCAATCGAAATAAAAATAAGTTTCGTGGTGTATGAATTAACTGCTTATCAGTTATTTGTTGTACTAACTTTATGGCGTATTAATTAAATGATTGATTCCCTGAATAGACAGAAAAAGAAAGGAAGAAGTAAAGATTGTTTTATGCTATTTTACTTTTGACTGTTCATGAAGTCCTAAATGTCGCAAATTGACAAGCTGTGATGGTGTGCCTAAATTGTTGCTCCTTTGTCTCCATCGCATATGAGTTGTGTACGGTGTTTCCTTACCTGTTGTCCCGCTGTAGATATCAGGTACTCCAGAAAGAGGCATCCACCCTCTACTCTGTCATATCTGATTGGTGGCTGCACAAGTCGTCCACAAATAACAATATGTTTTAAGTACAGGGCTTTCTCTAAGTGGCCTGGTGGAGGAGGGTGTAAGAATTCATCTGGCACAAAATACGGCTCCATCGCCGCGATGGTTTACTAAGAAAAAGACCAGCTAGCTCAGCTTCAGTTTCAGCAGCTGTCAATCAAGGTTAGTTTTATTACTTTTATACTGACTATAACGGCTATGTTTCATTTTTTCGTCATTCAGACATTCATTTTAAAAGCAGTTACCCTTGCGGAATGGCTATCAACCATGATAAAATCAATCCATTAGGACCGATTTTATGCAGACTCAGTAACTGACCACTTTTAGAGTAATTACTCACACAGGTTGGACTAGAATCAAAGCTGCTGTTGTTTGTTTAATTTGTGTTTTGTGATGTTCAGTTGTGGTTTCTCCCTAGATCTTTTTATTTATTATTTGTCTTCTCGATCTTTAGTCAAAACCCCTTCCTGCATAAAGAATACCCTATCAGATGTTTTATAGTCGTGTCATTATACCAAGTTATTGCGCAATATTGCCTGTAGTGCT